GTTGGAATAACATAGACGACTTCGCTTTTCACATAAACAAATTATTGTTTCGTTTTGTTAAAATGTAAATGGATTGAATGAATATCTTCAACTACTGCTATTTCATACTAGCATCTAAGAAAATACACAAAATGTAATAAAAGTGTTTCGCAAATACAATCAACGAATAAAATGAAAAACCACTAGTGCAGATCCATCCAAAAATGGAGTGGAATTGATTAAAGTCTGCAAATAGTTTTAGGAGACTATCGTAGAATTCATTGGGACCAGGGAACGTTAGCTTAGAAGAATGATTTTCTTGTGACATAACTACGTAGGTGAAGTCAGCACAAGATTCGAGTAAATGCAATCAAGATTCGTTTAGGAATTTGTTCCAAAGTTTCTACTCGTGTTTCAAATACAATTCGATCAGTCTTATTGAATGGTGTAATCTCATTTTCCATAGTTTAGATTATGTCCGAAAAAATCTCAAGATACTAATTTTTCATAACAGAGTTAAGAGAGTCCATATAGTAAATTCAGCCAAGATTCACCCAAACACTTTTTCCAAAGTTTCTATTCTTGTTTCCAGTACAAGTCGATGAGCTATGTCGATGATATAATCAAATTTTTGATGGTCTGAATTTTTGAAAAATTCCGAAAATATGGGTATTTTACATAGATCACGTGTAGTAAATCCAGCCAAGATTCGCTCACTTTACGAGCTTGCCCCACATGTCTTATTGTTGTTCCATGTAGAACTTGGTGAGCTCTATCCAATGGTAAAATGAAATTTCCCATAGCTCAAGTCATGTCCGAAAAAACCCAAATTATTGACTTTAGTATGCAATCCTTAGAAGCTATATAATAAATCCGGTCTAGATTCGCCTAAGAAGTTGTTCTATATGTCTTATTCTTTTTTCGAGTGCAACTCGACGAGCTTTATCTAATAGTGTAATCAGTTTTTTGATGGCGCCGAATATGCGGAAGACACGCCTAGTAAGTTTTATTATTTTTCCACTTTCACTTGTTGCCATACGAAAACTTCCAATCATGTCGAAGAAAACTTCGAACATTACTTTATTAACTGACAAAAGACCCTTGAAGTTCAGTTGGGCAATACTGAAAATATTTATGCTTTTTTTGCCCGAACTTTTGGAACATCCTATAGATGATTTATAATTTGTAGATGACGATATATAATGTGAGAATTGTCGAAGTAAAATGAATATGCTGCGTAACTATGTTGATGTTTATCAAGATATTTCGCTGAGTGTTCTTTTATGGAATCTGCTTCTTGCTTTATACCCATTAAACCCGCAGATTTTGAAAAATAAAATTTTTACAAAAAAATTCCGTTTTCGATTAAAAGCATCGATGGATACATCTACATTATTGAAAATTTGTCGCAGTGATAAAAAAGAAAAGTCAAACATGTTGTCGCGCTCAAAAAGTATTTGTACACATTGCTGTCATGTCACGATGGTTGTCAGAAAAATGTTCTAGAATTTCATGGCTCTGACTGTTTAAGATAAGAACTGTTGTCAATAATTGATGACATTCATTGAGTCCCAGTGTTGCATTTATGGCCACTGAGATTCTGTAAAAATCCATGAGTTTTTGGAATATTCTCAAAAAGAAATCTATCTCCGCTGCCGCATCGCGATGATGATTTAAGAATCCTATCAGTACTGTGACGCCGTCACCATGATGGTAGCTGCAGTGCAGGCTTGGAGATCTCTGAATTGAAGTAAAACAAATTAGTCAATATTCGACTAGATTGAAACTCTTTAAACACTTTTTTTTTATTTTTCAATAAAATCTTCATAGCTCTATATGCTTGACACCAATAAATTCAGAATTCTATCTTTCTTCGTTAGACTTATATGATACCTGTCCCTTTTGTTTTAAATCGAATTAGTTTTATTAGATAGTCAATTAACGATCTTGAAAACGAATCAAAGGAAAAACAACAAATCGAGGAAAAATATGAGGGTGAAACAAAATACGAAATTATCATGAATATATACGAGTATTTTGATTAAAGAATGAATCGACTGTTACAGCGCTTAACCGGTAGTGTTTTTCCTTACCTGTACTGATCTAAACAGTCAAACCGAACCAGATCAGTCGGTCTGCCGGTCTGATTATAGTTCTGGGTTGTTGCTAAATGAACATTTAATGCTTAATCAATATGTGAAAGAATACATAACGAAACATTTAACAAAAGATTATGAAGTATTTAAAATAACAATCAAACAATTTATGCCGGTAATTATCATTTGTTCACATATTATCAGTAAATTGTACAATAAATAGACATGGCTCAAGTGTAAAATAGATATTTTGTTCAAACGAACAAACTACATTAATCAATATTATTCGCAGCATATGTCTATCCCATTAAATTCATATAATTCGCTGATTCCTACTACTTTTGTTCGTCTTTCCGCTCTTTGTGTTTGTCGAATAATAGTACTTCTATATATTTTGTTGAATTTGCCTTTGATTCATGAGTACAATGGCTTTATTAACTATTCCGAAAAAATATTGAACAAGTGAATATTTAATAGAATGATGTTTATAATCGAGTTGTAACAAATTTTGTCAATCAAAACTACCGATTAACTATAAGGTTTTTAAAAAATCCAATAAGTCACTATCTGAGAGTCATTGATCTTGAGAAAATATTATTTCTTTATGAATGCAAAGCAATATCATTGATATTTTTCTTTATGAATGTAGCTGATGATCCAAATCTTGTTGTAATACTATTTTAGTATCGATCAATCGACGTCATCCTTTCAAAGTCTAGCTTTCATTCATTAATTGAAGTATTTTAAACATCATCACCATCATCGATGACAATACCAATTTCCATTCGAGAATTTCAATTCGATAATCCTTTATAAACATCAAATAAGAAAAAAAATCATTGTTATTGATAAGCCACCACGTCATCGTATTTCTACAAAACAAAAATGAAATAATAAATATTTTTAACAATTATTTTGTTTATTCTTATTATCAATAATTGGTGTAAAATAAGAAACAATTGATAGTCATTTTAATTATATTTGTTTTAATAATAAAACAGAATTTCAAATAACTGAAATAAAAAATAAAGTTCCAATTACAAAACTAGCGCAACATGGAGAAAAGAAATCAGATGACGATGAATATGACGAAGATAGAATGATTATTAATGCATATAGTGATAATAAACAATAAGAACAATTATTAAATAAATCTAAATAAAAGCTAATTTATTCGGGATCGATTCATCAAGAATGTGAAACGCATAATCTAGAAATCAGAGTAGCTTATTTAATATTAAATAAATGAAATAAAATAAATTAAATTGCTTTAGTATCTATCATTAGTCGTATTAAACTTGCAATATCTATTCAAGAAAATTATGAATATTATTTATAGCAGTTAGATACAATTCAAATTTTTATTCGTACATCTTATCATAAATTTTTTCGACACATTTGTTCTTTTGAATAACAATAGAAATAACAATATAAATGAAGAATTTAAATATTTTATTCTAAATCTGAATATCGATCAGAATTTCGTTTAAAACAAATTATAGATATTGATTATCATTCGATTTGATTTGAATCATATTTGGGATATGAAACGAATGTTTTATTAGGATAGAAAACGAAAATGTTTGTTTTTTTTCAATAGAAAATAAAGAAAAATTTAGCTAGAATAAATGTTTTTATTAACCGAGTAAAAATAAAAATAAAAAAAAAAGATGACATAATAAGATATTAATCACATGAATCAATTTCAATCTTGAAGTTCTAATGATTCAGCAAATAAAATTCCAAAAATCTTTAACAATTTTATAATGTAATCAAATATAGTTTTTAATAAATGATTATTAAATGTTTTTCCTTCTGAACTAATATAAACACTTGTTGACTGAATAAGCTCTTCAAGATGGTGCATAACATCCTTTGTGTTGATAGAATCACACATTGATTTGAAGATGTTATGTTTGATCAATCGAAATTTGTGTAAAATAACCAGATCATTTTCATTCAATTTTTGACAATAATCAATTTGAATTAATTTGCCTTCTGAAGTTAAATGTTGTTGCATTTGTTTAAGCTCGTATATAAATGATGTTTTAAATTTCACTATTTTATTCATAATTTCAGCATTGAAATGTACAGGGTGGCGCAAAAGTCACTTTACCCAAAAAAAAATTGAATATCTCCATTACGGCTCGAGCAAACGAACTGATTTTTTTACCAATAATAGAGGCATGTACAAGCTTTATATCCATAAAGACATGCCTAGAGAAACCCTTTGTTAAGTATATTGTTTTTTCTCCTATCTGTCAAAAAGTAAAACTTTTTTTGTTGAGATCAATAGTGATACTTAACAAAGGGTCTCTCTAGGCATGTCTTTATAGATATCAAGCTTGAACACGCCTCTATTATTGATAAAAAAATCAGCTCGTGTGCTCGAGCCGTAATGGAGATATTCAATTTTTATTTTGGTAAATTGGCTTTTGCGCCACGCTGTATATGGCCCAAAAGTCACGATGCCAAGGAAAAATTAAATATCTCCGCTACGGTTCGAACAACCGGGCTGATTTTTTTACCAATAATGGAAGTATGTTCACACTTTAAATCCATACGGACAAGATTAGAGAGAGCCTTTATAAAGTATCACTAATGACCTCAACAGAATAATTTTACTTTTTCATAGATAGAATAGAAAACAATATACTTAACAAAGGGTTTCTCTAGACATGTCTTTATGGATATAAAGCTTGAACATGCCTCTATCATTGATAAAAGAATCAGCTCGTTAGCTCGAGCCGTAGCAGAGATATCCAAATTTTTTCGGCAACCTGACTTTTTTTTTCAAACTGAAAAAGTAAATTTTTCTTGTTGAGGTCAATAGTGATACTTAACAAAGGGTCTCTCTAGGCATGTCTTTATGGATATGAAGCTTGAACATGCATCTATTATTGGTAAAAAAATCAGTTCGTTTGCTCAACCCGTAATGGAGATATTTAATTTTTTTTTGGGTAAAGTGACTTTTGCGCCACCCTGTATTGTTTCATCATAATTATTTAATAAGAATAAAAATCGAATATCATCATTATTATATTCTAACAGTACTTCACTTAAATTCATAATGTTTTTAGATGATGATGTTTTATCTTCACTTAATGTTATGTTAGCAACATACAAATAATAACCAATACAAGAATCATTATTATTAACAGCTTGAAATAATGTAATTTCATTTATATCATCAGAAGATTTAGGAATGAGCGGAGCTGTATAAATGTCAAAAGGACAGCCTACAAAAGAAACGAATTTTTTTATTAGAACAACAAAAAACATTCATCTATAAAAAACGATTTCTTACTTAAAACAGAATACGCCATAGCAGCAGATTGAACAAGCCATGCAGGACTTCCAAACCCCCAACTTGACTTCCAAGCAGGTTCAATAAACTGGCTATTATTCCATAAGATAAAATCAGACGAGTTTTTCGTGTTTATCATTGTATTTGTTGGTGATGTGTATTCATTTGCTCGTTTAGTTAATTCATCAATAATATCGTTTTGACGAGATTCTAAATTTGAAAATCCACGTCGTATACGAAACTTTGATGTATCAAGATAAATCGTTGAATTACATTCGTATGCGCAACCATTATCAATAATTTTTTCGATAAGCTTGATCATTTCAGATATATAATCGCTGGTCCGTGTTGCCATATTTGGTGGTAAAACATTTAATAATTTCATGTATAATTCAAATTGTTCATCAAAATTACGAATTTGTTCACGAAAAAACGTATTATCAAGAAGATTTGATGTACAGATAAAGATAAGTTTAGAAAAAAATGATAATCGATCAGAATCATTAATACTTGATTTCTAAATGAAATGTTCAATCTAGTTTAAACGTGTATAAAATATATATAAATGAAAATTTACATTTGGTTCAGTTTCATTATCCGATAAAATATAACGATCTGCTTCTTTTAAAAGTTTTTTTGCTGCTCGAATTTGTTTTTTATAGAATGATCGTTTATCTGGATCTGGTTCACGTGAACGAACATCTTCTAATTGCTAAAAGAAAGACAAATTTGTTTTCGTGTTTTTTTTAAATTTTATATCCTACTTTAATTCCATTTCGACAATATGTAATCATTTGTGGTGTTTCAATTGAACCAATTTCACCATGACAGGTAACAAGACTGACATTACGTACATATTCAATAATCTTATAATAAAAAACAATTGATATGAATAATGAAAATTTAATAATAAGAGATTTACTTTATCGTTCATGTCCACCATGTTCATACATAAAACAACCTCATAGGCAAAATAATACATTAATATTCGACGTATAATATCAATCGATACGTAGTATCTTTAAATAGAAAAGTAAAATAAAATGTAAATGTACGTTTATCTTACCTGGCATGTCCTAAATTCATTGTTTCGCATAAAGTAGGACCTGTAACAAACCATCGAATTTCATTGCAAATTTTCGAGACAAATAATTCCTAAAAAGATTTAATCAATACATGAAAGATGATATTTTATCGATTACTTCTTCGTTGGTACTACTGTTCTTTAAATGTAATTGTGCTCTACCACTCATATTTAAACTATTTATTAATAATAATTATTGCTTATTTACTTATCTTTAACACTATTGAATTGATTTAGATCTAAATAAAAGTAAAGAAGTGTTAAACATGAATAATTACATATTAATTAAAAGCTAATTGACGATGTTTGATATGATCAGAGAGGATGGTGGTGAATCCAAATTTCTATCGTTATACTTCGCTACTTCTTTTAGATCGCAATTCACAAAAGTATAAAAAAAGAATAGAAGAATGATCTAGAAATTATTCATTTCGTCATCTATCTATTTCATCATATGTTAACGAGTGTCTATGCATGCATGTCCAGGTCATTAAACATCATCTAGAAGAAAAAATTTTCGTTTTTCTTCTGTTTACGTTCTCTGTTATCTAAGTGGTTAAACGAATCAATGTAATCATATGGAGTGATTTGGCAAACTCAGTATATTTACCTACGACTAATAAAAGCTAATTTTCTAGAGAATATTATATCATTTTGACATAGTTTTGATGTCGAAAATTTTGCTTGCATCGAGCTCTACAAATGTAAACAATTTCAAAAATACTAACTAAATTTGAAATTTACTTTTCAAATCAAATATTGTTTGAAAATAGGAGGTTTTCGATGTAGTTGAATCTTTCTTTTCACTACAACTAGTTATAAGGAAGTCGAAATAGCTTCGAGTTTACTAGGCTTATAAATATTATGGATTATTCGTATTATAGATGAAACTTCTATAGAAAAGAATTCATTTTAATATAGTTTCGTACCAAAATAATCTGTTGAATGCAGAAAGTGCTGGATATTTTTTGAGAAAAAATATTTTATGAACAACTAAAATTTATTGTAGTGACTAAAACATGCCTTTCATTCAGTGATGAATTTACGGAAGCATGTTAGGAGCGATCGGCACTTCCTTTCACGAGTTTTCTGTCAATTTTTTCCAGTAGAAACGAAAAAAATTGAGTTGATACTGTCTCAGATAGATTTCAAAGAACATTTTTCGACAATATCCGAATTCTGCTCATCATTTTGTTAACTGTTTCTTCATTATCAATCCTGTAGAATGACAGTTGGTTGCATGGAACAAATTAATTCGTTAGCATAGATATATAAAATACTTTTGAGAATGAAGTGTAAATCTGAGATTCGACCAACATATTTTACATTTTTTTCTGTACTTACAGTCTTTTTTGCTTCTTTCGCTAAATATTTATTTAATTTTCATTGTTCTCTATAAAGATTTCCATCAATAGGACTTAATTTAATTCTGTTAATAAAGACCAAATAGCCAATGGAAATTTTTTTGTGAATAATCTGAAGTTATTATTATAATAATAAATATAAAGAAGAATTGTTCAACAAACTTCTGTTTTAATTTAATCTAAGATTTCAGATTGATGTCTAAAAAGATCGGTTTGAAATTTATTTCAATAAATAAAATCTTTCTCCATACATTAGATGAAGTTTTTGGTTAGCATATGAAAGAAGTGTCATATAAAGTGTTAAATTATCTTCAAAATGCTCTGCTAATTCCTAAAAGAAAAACGAATTTTTCTTTGTTGAAAAATACAATTAAAATAAATAATTACTTGAGCATTAAGATCATAAAAGATTTTGATACAAACATATAATAAATCAAATATATTTTTCATTTCAATAACCTCAAATTCTTTTTTATGGATCATATACAATAAATAACTAAACAAAAAAAATATTCGAAAAATAAAACAATAAATTGTTTTACTTTAAATAATTCTGTAAACGCAGGTGCAAATTTTTCAAGAACTAATTTAATTTCTAACCATAATTCATCCAATTTTTGTTCATATCTATATCGTTCAAAAAGTAAATGTACTGTTTTTAAAACACCATTTATTGATTGAAATGAATTTTGTGTTGATAATTGTTGAAATTGTCTAACCATTGTATCGAGAAATGTTGGCCATTGATCAGGAAAATCACATTTACCAATAACAGTTATTGCATCGAATAATTGTTGTTGAATATGTTCAGATGATCGTGTCATTAAATCTACAATATGTTCTTTTATATGATTACGATCATGTATTGATATTGGATTTGTTGTTGATGATGATGCATCAAGTGATGGCCAATCACGTTTAACAAAACTTTTAAATGTTATTAGTTAATGATGCACGACGTATTTCGTCTGGTATTGTTGGACGTTCACATAATGTTAATAATAATGATGAATAATTTTCATTTCGTTCAATTTGTTTTAAAGTTTTTTCAGCTAAGAAATACAAAAAATATAAATTAAAATAAAAGATTTTTCAAATAAATATTTTACCTTCTGTTCGTTCATTACCACTAAGAGTAAAAGTTTTATGTAAGTATGTTGCAAGTACTTCAAGATTTTGATCATTTATTTCCATTTTTTTTTGTAAATTGTTTATTAGTACAATTATATTATCTGAAATTATAAAACAAATGATAAATAACAAACGAATAATCTCTTTTATTAATTTAAAGAATAGAAGAAATAGTAGTCATTCACTCACTCACTCATTAACCGTTAGTCACTTTTGCGTTGTGTCGTTAGTATATATTGATCACATGACATATAGAGTTCGTATACACATCACATGATTCAACAGAACGAAATAACAGAAAAATATGATCATGTGAATGTAGTGAGAGAAGTGATTAAATTCTATCACACAAGTTACATAAATTATATTCAATATTGATAAGTCATGCGACAGCAAAAAACAATAGAAACTTTCTGTTTTGATTGTGACAAAGTTTGTTTTGTCTTGATTGTTTTAATGAGAAAAATCATGCTATGCAATCAATGATTTCAACAACAGCGAAGACAGAGCAGATTACACTTTACATGTAACCTCCTGTCTAAGAAAAAAGGAAAAGAAAGTGTTTTTCTGTTAAGTTTCGTGTTAAAATATAGTGGACCCCACCAGTGGGATCTATCGTGGTGAATGTGTTAATACCGATTAATATTCTTTCTATACATGATCTACTGTCCTAACAGATTGAAAGAAAAGAAATATTCTTCAAACTGCTGACTGTTATTCTGAAATGTATATTTAATATTTCAGCTATTGTCGTGTCGCAAAAGCGTTAGTAATACTTCTTCTATCTATCATCACTCTCGCCCTTACTCTTTAAATTGACTAACCGTAAATTTTTTTAACCGGCACTTTTTCTAAAAGAATTTGCAGTTATGTTTCTCTTTTTTAATGATCAATAAAAAATGAAATTGCCTAAACATGAATGGAAAGGGAAGAAAAACGCAAAAGACAAAATGATGATTGTTCTACATCGCAATTTTTTTCTCTCCCTTGATTGCTTCGCTAGTTTCTCGATAAACCACCGGCATTATGTTCGAGAACACTTAAATGAAAACGAAAAAAAAATTCAAATCATTCTTTCATTCGGTTGCACCGAACAATTAATAAAACATACGAGTAGTATCATGTCGCATAAGTCCATTGTCGAACAATTTGCGCAGGCCGTTAGTGGTCATCAAATCGATAAACTTAAATCATCTCCTAGAAGCCAATGTTCAAAAACCAACAAATTCGAAAGCTATCTACAAGAACATGCAAGAATCTCAAGATTATTATCGTAAGGAAAATGCAACACAATAGAAAATTCTCGAAGTTGTCCAGGACGATCCAAATGGCAATACAATGCAAACTCGAGTTTCCCACGACAATAAAATATACAAAACATCATACACATTCAGTCCATCTGGTAAAATTAGCCGAATCTATACCGTTTCCGAAAACTAACAAATTATTCTAAAAACATATTTATTCCAGTTAATATCCTCCTACCTTTATAAAACCTCTTTCTTTTTCTTTCAATAAAGATTCTATACTAGGCTAGCCTGCTGCACATTGTTCTTGTTTTTCATCTCCTAAAATCAAGCACATCAATAATCAAAGTTGTTGTAACTATTTAACATATAAATATCAAATCCCAATCAACAATATGTAGATGATTTAACCTCTTGGTTACCGCTGTCTTCAAATTGAAGACAAGATAGAAGGAAGAAAATATTCTTTTGCGTTCTGTCAGATCGTTCACTAGTTGAATACGATAGAGAGAGTGATTTTTCGATTTTCCTAATCTATCGAACAGAACGAAAGAATTTGTCGGTATCCAGGAGGTTAAAAGCGACAACTAGTCTTTCGATTTTATATGATAAATAAAAATGAACCAATAGGAAAAAATCAATTCTGTAGAACAAAGAATCGCATAATATTCTTTCTCTCTATATGTCATATGTCATCAAATTTTGTTGTAATATCTCATTTATTATTTTCAAAATGGTGGATTTATCTGCACCCATTAACATCGATAATCTTGTTCATATCTTAAGTCAAATTCCCAAAACATTTTCTAATGATAATGAAAAAACACCTTCAAGTCCAACGATACCAAATGTATTTTGTAAATTTTGTGTTAAACGATATGGAACTTTTTCTGGTACACGCAATTTTTAACTTTTTTCAAAACAAATATTATAATCAATATAAACCATCTAAATAAAAGAAAAATTCCAATTTTGAAATAGAAAATATTTTTATACTTGTTCGGAGTTTAAATCAACAAGGACATTGTCAAGATGACGATCTTCTAGACCAATCATTGATGTTGCTGCTAGGAACGACCAAAGTTTAAAGCAGAAAAGTCATTGGAAAAGTTTGTTGGAGTTAGAAAATTGGACTGTTTCTAAAAGCTTCAATGAACAATGTTTAGAGACACTTTCCTCTATAACTATCGCTAATAAGAGATGTGGGATCACGTTTTTATAGTCATATTGGAAAGAAAACGAATCTAAAAGAATTCTCAGTTCTTAGCTTTTTTAATCGACTACGATCACACCTTTCAGTGATCTCTTCGAAATTTTATCTTCATTCAAATGATTTACACGATAATCCATCTGTGACTAACTATATATAAAGATCAATGCTACAACATAGTTAATACACTATTCACGAATGATTCGAGACAAACAGATGTTTCTAACCAGTTTGATGGCATCGAAACTCCAACATAATATCTTGGTAGTACATGTCGAACAATTTTAATACACATCCATATCAGCTGAACGCTTTGGTTCGACCTGCAACTGGTTTTTTTTTAATTTCACTCGATCCAAAGTTCCAATCAATCAAAGTCAGTTTTGTTAGAGATTAAGAGTCTATTTCGATTAGTTAATATTTTAAAGAACAAAATCATTATCTCATTTAGAATTGCAGTTTGTCCTATCCCGCAGGATAATCGGAACATTTCGAATAAAGAACGGCCTGAACCAACAGAATTCTAAATATGATAAAACTTCGTCTCATAGGACTCGAACTGCAGATAATCTCGATCAGATAGAATAAACTGAAGTATATTTTCATTCTAACCTATTAATAACACGAATCAATTTTATGCTCTGAGAATCTTTACTTATAGTTTTGAACATTTTTATACTCAAAACCAACACTTGAACAACTACACCAAAGTTCTCTAAATATACAAAAGAAAAATTTTCTCGTACTAAAAAAATAAAAATTTCTCACCGTGATAAAAGATCTGCTGTTGTTTCACGTATTAATTCTTCGCAACATTGACGTCATATTGGCATTGGTATTTCACGTCGATCCTCCATTGGTTGTTTTCCCTATAGAAAATTTTACTATAATAATCAATAAATTCCAAAGTCTACTTTTTCTTTCAATATACTATTTTATTTTCAGTAATAAATATCATTTGGGTTTAGTAAAGGAATTTCTTGATTGTCATGAAGAAATATTAAAAATACTTATTTGAAAATGGAATTATTCTTAATCTATTTGAGCTTTCCAAGTTGGTGCTGTTGCTTGTCTTTGTTACCATTGTTTATTAAGTGTAAATAATGATATTGCATCTTCTACCCACTCAATTCAACCATTTCTTGATGCAAGTCGTATAAAAGTATAATTTATTGGTTCATATGACTTAGTAAACATAATATTTCCGATGGATAATAATTGTATGATACGTTCATCTAAATGAAGATCTTCAAGATCTTTTAATAAATATTGATATCGATGACCATTTGACCCAGCAAACATTGATTTTTTCGAACGAGTTTTTGTTGTTAATACTTGAACAGTTTGACCAACACTATGAATTGTATGAAACTAAAAGAAGAATGAATATCACATATAAAAATAAACTATAAAAAAACGTTTAATCTGTCCATCTTCGCCTGGAATTGGCATAACACTATGTTTAATTTGTGCAAGTTTTGGACTTGTTTGATTGATAACATGAATTGTCCCCTCACGTTTACCAGTGCGATGTAATATTGAATAAATATATATGTATTTGTTTCTAAAATATGTTTGTTTTTACTTGTTGTAATTGTAACCAGGGTGAGGGTGATATGTTGTTTTAATTGTTCGATTGGTGCATCAATTTGTTTACTATAATCTTTTTGAAAAGTTTGTTCACGTGGTGTTTCAGCAGATAAACGTGTTATTTAACTAATTGCTTCAAGAACTGTAATGAACTGAAGAGAAAAAACACCTTTTAATTAAGATTAAAAGATATTAATTTACAGATTTGAATAAAACATTTTGTTTTTCTTTTCATAAAAACTCTTTTCATCTTTTTTTAAATGTGTCATTGATTGAAGACGATGAAGTTCATCTTTAAGTGCATAAACACGTTTAGAATAAAATTTTAAAAAATGCATATACATGGATCTAGTTTTTATCAATGATAAAAAGTCGAGTATTTGTATATCGACGGCATATAAATAAGTACGAAAGAGAATAAACGAACTTTTTATTTTTATAAATAATTTTCAAGTGTAAAGATAAAAGTTGAACGTCTCGAAATCGTGACAAACATTTTCATCACATATTCTGATAAGTACGTTAGCAACGGGATAGTATAGACCGCGATAAACATTCTAAAAACTACTCATTATAGAAATCGTTCTAACGATCGAGCACAGATATTTTGGTAAAGATACATTGCACATATCTCAACAGAATCTCTCGATGGCAAACCGTGAAGACATATTGATCAAACTGAAATTAATACATTCGTTTCATCATGCTTAACATTTTTATCCTCATAGATATTGGGCTAATAGCTCGTTCTCTAAGAACCCCAAAGTGATTTTTTAAAATACTTTTCCTATTCTTCATTATTTTGATGCATTAACATTTATTCTTTTATTAAAAAATAAAATCCCACATATCTATATTATTTCTTGGATAGACTGTTGATGACTGCAAGTATGAAATTAGCCGGAGTGATGAGCCACTTTGTCGCTAGTTTCATCAGTTCTCTTCTCGAGATTGCTAAAAAACGCTTCATCCATCAAGCAAAGATGAATTTTTATTGCTAATAGAAACAGCTCTGGACCATCAAATACGATTAGTTTGATTTTTATGGCGAACTACCCTTCTCTAAGGTATTAATCTACTAGGTTCTTCGCATGACAATCAATCAAGATTCATCGTGCTCTATCGATATTTGGCACTGCAATGTACGTCTCAAGGTTGAATGCTAACATATATTTTACAATTCTTCGTTAATTCTCAAAACTTCTATTTCATCGTACGAATTTGTTTCTCTCAACCTAACTGGTTAATTTCTTGTTGAAGTTGTGCCATTGTTCCTAACTAAAGTTCATCCTATAAAACGGTAACATGTCGTAATTGATATACAAATAATTTCACTTGTCCAGCAACATGTGCATTTGTTTCCTCGAGTACATTATAAATAAGTCTAAAACTATTTTGTATAGCTCAAAGATTTTCTTGTTTTTCAACATGATCATCATCTTTTTCAAGATCTTCATCATCTTCTTCTTCTTCAATTTTATTTTGTGATCTTTGATCATTTGAATGATGTATACTCAAAGATTTTCTTTTAGAAATATTTTTATCTCGAGATTTCATTCGTCGTATTTTCCGATCATCAGTTATGAACAACAATAACTGAATAAAGAATTAATTGCGGAAAATCTTTTTCTATACCTATTAACAAATTTGTTACATAATCTCGAACAAAACTATCCCAATGATTTAAACGAGAAAATAATTCTGGTATAAGACATTTCCATGCCTAAGTTCAAATATTAACAAGACTTGTTTCAAATATCGAACGTAATTGTTGAGGATAACATACAAGTACATGTAATAAACATAATGTAACAAGAACATTTGATGCATCATCATTATTATTATTATTAGATTTGGTACTGGTTTGTTATCTCCCCACATGAGGCTTTTTATTTTTTTCTAACTTTTATTCTCAAACTAAATAAGATCACTGTATATAAAATAAAACATCATAAGTACTAGTTCTCTGGTGGCCAAAATGCAGCTATATCATCCAGAATTGCATCAAAGGGATCATGTCCATTATCGATAAAATAAACAGCTAAAAACTAAGGTAGTACTGAAAAATAAAAAAAAACTTGTGTGGGGAGATAACAAACCAGTACCAATGGATTTCTACTTGTTATTGGTAAAATTCATCTATTATCTTATGTTGGTCAAACATTTCAAGATTAACCAACATTATGGCTACCTGTCAGACTTAATTTTATCTTATTTCAACCTGTACCTTGTAGACGTGTTCGTGCTGTTATATGAAAACTTGGCAAAAAACACATCTGTAAAAAATTTCATTTGAAAAGAAAAATATTTTTTTAGTATTTTATTCTTCTATATTTTAGCTTGTTTAATACACAATCGTTTCAATGCATCATTTATTCGTCATACAATACCACCGGTTTATCATTATTTTATATTTAAATTAGGACAATCTCTTCTACTTGAAATAATTCAATGTCATGTTGTAAACAATATTTTCGATATTAAAACAACGCTTGTGAAAGTAAAGAAAGAAAAAAAAAGGGAATAATGTTTACGATTTTGTTTTTTTTTTTTTTTTCTATGTATAAATTGTAAAGTTTGATGTATGATTTCAAAAGATAAATGATGGTATTCATTTTGCAAAAAGAAATCTGTAAATATTATCTAATAAAATAAGAAATGATAGACAGATATATAGGATATGTTATTCAATGTCAGGAGTGATATATGAATAATAGCAATTCATAAATCAATATAAGAAATAAAATAATTTCATATATGAACTTCTATGGAACTGAGGATCTTTTCTATACTCTCACTGATCCACTTTTAATGCTCATTCAGGATATATTAAGACTAACATGTCATGCGACGAATTCTTCTAGGACCATGCAAATCAATATTTATATTGAAAACTTCCATTGGTGAAATTAAAATGTCGATAAATTTTGTTCAGGTTGTGTAGATAGGTTTTTTTTTTCATTTGAATCAATGTTTAACTAACTTTATTAGAATTGAAAGAACGTTCACATATTTCAATGCTCTTGTTTACATACATTATTCAACGTTCGATAATATATTTATTCAAATCAACGAATATGCACTCCCTATCAGGCTTCGGAGTCGAATGAAAAAATCATCCCATCAAACCAGTTAGTTTGTTCCATCTAAACATGTGCGAGATCAAGTTTTTGTGTACTCAAAAAGTTCATACACTCTTGAATCGGTCAGGATGTCCGTCCGGCCGTTTACACGATAACTTTTGAAAGGAGAGCCAGATTCCGATGAAATTTTCTACACAGCTTGATCTCAACAATATCTCGGTCGAGAGAAGAAGATGAGAAGGATTGGCCGAGCCATTCCTGAGTTATTGGAAAACTAGTCATTTTTCCCAATGCCTTTCTATGCGAGAATCGACCTATTTCCGCTTTCGTAACAAAACTTTTCCTTGAATAGTCAAATGAAACCCCAACTATTCTAAACCATTCGATAGAGAATTTCAAGAGTTACAAAATCGGATATAAAATATAAAGAAATAAGAAGACTAACTCACCTATTGCAAGGGTAATTAAACGGGAATTGGTTCTGTTTGTGTTGTTCACACTCTAATTGATCGACAATTCGAGCTCTGTCTTTCGATTATAGAGATGACAGTTCGAGGTTTTTTGGGTCGGAGAACTCCAATCTGAGCTCTGTTTGCCTCGAACTCCTATTGGTTGATCATTAACCAATAGAAATCAAGTTATAGGAAAAACGACTTTCGTTAGGGGTATATCAAGGTGAAGAGTTCAAAGCTGAGCTGCATTCATCCTCAAATCCTATTGGTTGATCATTAGCCAATAGAAATCAAGTGTTTATAGAGAAAGTTTGCCAGGATAATTTTTATATTCCCACATTCGTCGAACGACTCATCTGTCTGATTGACGTTTTCTTCAGTAGAGATAACTCTCGGATTTAAATTCGAGGTTTCGACATTTATTTTTTGAATGACCGTTATGTCACTTTTTAGAGTACGATGAGCTGATAACGATGGGATACAGAATTCTTCTAGATATATTGCCTATGAATAACTAGACCGATTTCAACAATAGAATAAGTAATTGAAAGGTGTTATTTAATAGATTTTAATTATCTTGTTAGATTAGATTTCACCATTGAAAAGTTTAACTCTCTATTCGCGCGCCTTAATTAACTCTACATATTCAACATAAATCGAAATTCTAATAACGGTCTTTACTATGAGTATTATCAATATAGGGCATTCAATTATTTTCTTTTCAAAATCCTTCTTTAAATAAGAAGATCATTGAAATAATCTCTTATTCAAATACGTAGCTCTAACACTGAAGGCATGTTTGAAACACAATGTGGTTGAGTTGCAGACAAAGAAATGATGCATCGAATGGTCACATCTATATCCTTATTTAACGTTGAGTTTTAACAATGATTTTAAATTTGAAGTGACCTCATTTTAAAATAAACGTTTCTATTTATGTAAATAATTTTCATTGAATTCTATCTATGTATCCCATTCTGACACGACATACGAAAGAATCGTACGTCCACTCTATTATTGGTCTATTGGTGCTCGTTTCATTACAAGAATATTTTTTTATTAGATTTAGCTTATTTTTATTTTTAAGTATACATTATTATAAATTGATCTATTCAATTTTGTTTTTTTCTTTCGAGGTCATTTTTGATCAGACGAAGAATGAAAGGAATGTATTAAAAACGGATGAAATAGAACGTATCCTGAGTACTCAACGTTTAACTAGTCAACGTTTGTTAAAATATTTTACTTCTTTTCGACATTTTTTTTTTTCGTTTAATTCGAATTAGAAAAAGCGATTGATTTATTTCAAAAACAACGAATTCACCAACAAATTCAACTTGACAATTACGAACGATATTAAAAATGACGTAATAAACGTCGTCAACAACGAAGGTCTTTGTTAAAAAGAAAAACATATGTTTAGATATTGAAGAAGAAAAATATGAAATAAACATGTTAATCATATTATAAGATGAATTGTTAAATAAAACGACAACTAAATCTTTCTTGAACAAGAACAAACATTTATTCGAATAAATACAGATTAATTTAATTAACGAAATAATTATCTTCTTGGAAACGATTTACATCAAAACAAACGAACAATGTTTGTGATTTTGTTAAAGTTTGTTTTTTGTGTACTCAAAAAGTGAGTACACTACTAAAATCGGTCTGTGTGTCCGTCCGGCCGGCCGTCCGTCCGTATACACGATAACTTTCGAAAGGAGAGTCAGATCGCGATGAAATTTTTTGCACAGTTCAGTCTTTACAATATCTCGGTCGAGTTTGAAGGTGAGAAGGATCGACCGA